AAGTTTCTTATGCCTTACTTGCCCATTTATTATTACATTGGCAGTTATGACTATTTAACACTGTTAAGGATTGTGCACTTGTTTCTGAAACGGAAGGGTATGCTGAAACTTTGTAATCTGCTTTGCCTTGGGTGTGAAAGGAGAAGAACAAGTGAAAAATAAATAGCTGCAAAGAGCAGATGTATCAAATCCCTGAGACCAAATAAACAGAGGGAGCGCTAGACTGTGAGCAAGAAATATCCTCAAGCATTGAGACAGAGAATCTCCTTTCACCCCAGTTACCCAGGGCCACTTGTAACACACATATAGATCCAGCTACCGACACAGTGCCAAGCAGAAAATATATAAGCTCTACAGCTTAGGAGCTCAGTATCTTGTCAATATTACTGCTTGCCACATCCTAAACAATTCCAATAACCAAGCTCACTTTTGTTCCTGGGAACAAATAGCTACCTTGTATCTCTCATAAGAAATCTGGACCCTGTCTGGTTCTGCTTCCCGGTTCCGAGGTCTTCAAGGCCTACTGCTAAAACTCATTTCCTCCCTTTTCCAAGATGCCAGCCTGAACCTCTACCTAGTACCTGCTACCCACCACCATCCCACTCCCACACCAACCTGGCCAACTCCACCTGTCTGCACACTGTCTTTTGCTACTCTTATCCGCTGAGAGGCTAACTATAGTACCTCCATCCAGATTTCCAGGCCAGTGTTCTGGCCTCTCCATCTAGAAAGAGCTAATCCTGCTTGAGGTAAACCTACCTAGTAGTTGGATATCAAATTCTACCAAGTCACAGATCCATCATGATGAGTACCAATTTACCTAAATTTCAATCACACCATATCAGGTTTTATTCCCTCTTTCTTTTCTGAACAGAAACTCTGAAAACTTTCAGATCGTTCACAACTTACACCAGTTTACCTAGGAACTGCTTCTGCAGCTGTCCTGTTCTCACACAAATCAAGAATCATTACACCTTTCTTTGCCTATCTTCAACCTCTTGACATGACACCACTTTTTAAATACATTAGAAAATGGTATCATACTTAAAATACACTTAATGGAGGAAAATATTCCATGACACAGGAGAGGAGGGGAAAAAAATCACAGATTGGATTACTTATAAATAAAAATTTGAAGGTATTTTCAATTGGCAATATGGAATGAACTGAAGGCACTTCATGCTTTTAACTTTCTTATCTTAAATGCCTTAAAATTTAGATCATCTTATTAAGTGAATAAGACATCATTTTACTTTGCTAACCCCTCATTTACGAGAGATATATGGCAAACTTCAGGCTAATTTCTATAGGAAAATATAAAATATTATGAATGTGAATTTTCACCCTAAATGTGATTTTACGGAATTATAACTATTCAAAACTTGAACCCTTGGAAAAATCTGATCACGAGTACTTACTAATTAAGGAACACAACTGATTATTAGATTTGCTAGTGATCCAACTTTGTTTCTTTTTTAAATTAATTAATTAATTTTGGCGGCACTGGGTCTTCGTTGCTGTGCATGGACTTTCTCTAGTTGCAGCAAGTGGGGGCTTCTCATTGCGGTGTCTTCTCTTGTTGCAAAGACATGGACTCTAGGCTCGTGGGCTTCGGAAGTCATGGCACGCAGGCTCGGTAGTTGTGGCGCACGGGCTTAGTTGCTCCGCGGCATGTGGGGTCTTCCTGGACCAGGGCTCAAACCCGTGTCCCCTGCATTGGCAGATGGATTCTTAACCACTGCACCACCAGGAAAGTCCAATCCAACTTTGAAACAAAAATTTCCTAATATTCCTCTTTCATGCTCAGGATTAGTTTAATTGAAGTAAATCCTGAAATTGAAAGGTGAGCTGCCAGGAGGCAATTTCCAGTTGCCACTACTTATTTGTATGAATCAAGATTTTATCCAAAGAGTGAATCAAAGAAAAGAAATAAATCACTGTATTACAGAAGTACACATATTATCTCTAAACCAAGTATATATTTCTGCCCATTAACTGCCTCATAATTTAAACATGTTGACTTATTATATGTGAGGTGGTAAAAAATAATTTAAACTAAAAAGTTCATAACCTTATCTAAAATTAAGAGAAATCCAATCCTTAAAATCTGCTTACTTTTTCAGAAATAAAAAGTTATATATAGTAACACTTCGTGCCATTTGCTTTCTGTCTTATTCCACTCCAAAATGTAGATCTGTACTTTTGGAATAAGAAATATAAGTATTGTCTTACCATCTTTTTCAAGCTCTCCCCAGTTCTTCCACACGGAAGGCCTCAAATTTCCTTATGATAAGCATTCTTCCACATTTAATAAATGCAGAAACTAAAAACAGTGCTTTAGTTTAAGACAACATTCAAATAAGTCTCTACTAACACTCATCCCACTTAGTTTTTCCTAAACTTACTACCAATAATGAACTTTCTCACAGTATATCAAACTTTGGAAGTTATCTTCCTGTTTCTGCATTGATACAAAATCATCTCATCCCACTGGTCCCTCAAAGACAATATCATGCTTCTAACAAAGGTCAAACATTGAGAATTGTTTTTTCAAGTTGATGCAAGATTTAAGGAAATTTATTTGAAAATGAAAATAATAGCAACCAACATTGGCTGTTCTAAGCACTTTACAAGTATTAACTCATTCAATCCTCCTAACAACCTATAAGGTTGATAGTTTTATCCCATTTATAGATTAAGAAACTGAAGCTCAGTCACAACAGCTAGTAGGTAGAAGAGCCAGGATTTGACTTTAAACTGTCCCAGTTCAGAGCCCAAGCACGCTCTAACTCTCTAGCTGTACCACCTAAATGTTAAGAACCATCACTTAATAGGTATCCAAGTTATTTTGAAACGAAGAAATTAAAGATTTTTCATTTCGTGATGAACCAGATAAAATACCATGTAAATATTTTAAGCTATCGTCTTAAGTCGTAAGAAATGAAGACTTCTGACAGCAAAACCAAGTATGTTAAATTAATATTAAAGAAAAAACTCCCTTTAAGTGATTTTGATAATTTTATTATGAATACATGACCAATAAATTTAAAGTACACATTCATATGACAATATCTGACAAATACCTTTCAAAAATTAACTGCAAATGCACCCAAGTAATCAACCTTTAAAACACATTCTGGGTAGTCAGGTTGAGAGTGTACAAACATCACACTTGACCAAGATAATCTGGCAACTCACCTAACCAGAACACGGCAAAGTCACTGAGAAAAGGCCTCCGAACAATCAAAATAAATACTCCAATGTCCAAGTATTGATACTCACTTTTCTCAAAAGAGGATCTCACAACTAAATAAGGGTCAACTCATTTTTACCCTTATGCAGAATTACAAATTTGATTTCTGGAGGAAAAAATGGCGTAGAAAAATTACCAGTGGGAAGGTGAAGGGGGACACCGATCACAGTGACAAGCACATCCAATAGGGAAGCAGAAAAATGCGTACTTAATAACTTCAAAATGCAAAGAAATCTGATCTACAGTCCTATATACAATCCAACAGCTCCTCACGGCCCACAGTAACTGATGGTCACAAATGATGACCCTAGGTCATCAAAAGATTTAATTATATTCTGCATCCTACTTAAAACAGAAAAGAATACCATATTTAATTTTAGTATGATTTTCACTCAAAGTCGTTTTATAATTTGAAGCTTAGAGGATAAACCCTCAATTACCCAGTAAGCTCAACTAATAAATTAGAAAGAAATTCCTTGGAAAGTTCCAAGTAGCAAAGGTTTCACTGTTTCTAAGTTTAAGAGCACTATGTGTACAAAAGTTACCTGAGAGCAAAAGGGAGACAGGAGAGCACAGAAGTAGAAAGTCTAAGAAAACAAAGAAGAGCTAGGCGACAGTCTATAAACGTGCTATCCTTAAGGCATTTCCCACAAAACAGTGTGTGGGCAGTAGGTGCCACATCAGCAGTACTCTGTATTTGTCCTGCTCCTAAATCATTTGTTAGTTTCATGAATTATTAATTTCAGTTAATAGTTTGTTGAGATGAAGCAGTACCAACTCTTTCCTCAACTGCAAGAAGTGATAGCGTCCTTCTGATTGCTCTACAAAACCAACACTGGGATTACTCTTACAGAGCATGCATATGCCTTACGGTGGCACACATTTGATTTAAAAAAAAAAAAAGTTATCTTTTAAACTGCTTTTCATTTTTAAAGGATTCAGGGAGATAGTGCCTAGCCCACACGGAACTTTGTTATCAAAAACATTGTTACACTACTCAACAAAACTCCGTTTCAAACCAGGCTGCAACACATTCTTTCTCTAGCTCCAAACAAAAACTTTAAAGCACATAGTAAATAACATATAAGGCCTTGTACTTTTCTCCCCTTCTAGCGAGGAAGTCTAACTCCAAACAGGAAACTGCTTCTCAAAGGATTCAACGCAGAAATCCTACCAAACGCCAATCCAGTTCTCAGGAAGAGATTTAATATTTAAGTGCCAACACACTTGCCCAGGTAGAAACGGAGTAAATACTCAAGCTTCCCTGCCCTTGAGGCACCCCTTGGAAGTTTTAGCAGGGAAAAAAAATGTTTGCCTTTTCTAACGAACAAACTACAAAATGCTTTAAAAGGCCAATCTATACAAAGGTTCACAGAAGATAAAGAAGTTGAAAGTGCTAGTTTGTCAAGTTTTTCGATCACCCTCCCCCATCCCACCAGGATCGGGGAGGAAAGAAGGGGCTAGGGAAGAAGGAAGGTTCGAGGCTGAGCGGAGCTAGGCGCGGGGCGAGGTGATCGGGCGCCCCCCCCCTCATCCCCTCACCTTTCCCGGGCCCAGGTAAAGAGGCAGAGAGGAAAGTATGAGATGGTGCACTTCTCCGCCAGAAGAGCAAGGTGGAAGGCAGGGCGAGGAGGGGCGGCGGGGAGCGAGCCGTGTGGCCGCGCAGGGACCGACCCCCGCCCCCTCCCCGCCGAGATCGAGAAGGGGAACCGTCTCCCCGAATCGGGAGCGTCCTCGAGTCCCTTACCCATGCTGGGGGCTCCCGCGGGGAGCAGCCCGGCGCCCGCCGCTCCTCCTCCGGCTGCTCGCGCGGCCGCTCCGGCGGCAGGAGGCGGGCCCTCCGCTCGGCTCTAGCCCGGCTGAGCTCAGGCGGGGCAAGAAGGCGCCTCCATCCGCCCGCGGCGTTCCCTGGCCAGTCCCGTCCACGCCACCCGTGAGGAACAGGCGGCGGCCGCTCCTCACTCGCGGCGGCTGGCGCACCCTCCCCCGCCCGCCCAGCCGGCGGCTTCCCCACCCCCGATCGCTCCCGCCACGGGGTGGGACCTGCCGGTTCGTCGTGGCCGCCGGCTCCAACCCGGAGCGCCAGCCCAGCCCCGGAGCCCGCCCCCCGCCGCTCCCTCGGCGCCTGCAGTCCTCTAACGCGACGCCAGAGACTGAGGTGGAGACCGGGACAGAGGCCGGGAAGGTGCCGGGAGCTGGGCCGGGAGGAGGAAAATCTCGCGAGAATCCTCGGTCCTCCCTGCCCCGCCCCCGCCGCGTTCCGGCTCACCGCCTGCCCCCGGCGGCTGCCAGGTGCGGTGACGTCATGGCCAGGGGTAGCTCGCCGCCCGCGTCCAGGTGCGCGGAGCGGATGGGGGAGCCGTGCGGCACAGCTGCGACAAGTCCTCCGCCCTGAAGTTCGAAGCTGCTGGGACAGGCGTGTTGTGTGGTTTGTCGCTTCAGATGGATACAAAGAGTTTTTGCTGATAGGCAAATGAGCCTGGGTTGCCCCACTTTGCAGTGTTGCTGCAGCAGGCTTTGGGGAACCTAAAAGAAAAGAGGCCGCGAGAGAGAGATGCAAGAGGACAGAAATAGAGAGAAAAACCGTTTGCTTTCGAACTTTAGAGGTCCAGCTGCAATCAGAACCCGCGGTTTACCTTGCAAAATTCCGCATGAATCAGAAGCATTTCTTAGTCGGAAAAAAATCCTAGGCACAGAGTAAATTCTATTTTACAGGATTAAATTATTGGGTTCCTTTAGTCTCTGTCCGCTGAAGACCACTTTCTAAATCCCTTTTCTCCTTGGAAAGTATAGTTTAAATTGTTACCTGATGGGGAGGGGGGAGCAGGTCGGGATAGTCATGATTTGAGAGATTGCCTGGCATTTTTTTCTAGCCTGAATATGAAAAAGAGCATAGGATTATTGTAATCAGACATGACACTTTCTTAGAGTTAGAAATATATATAATTAATTCAGCCAGGGACTTCCCTGGCGGTCCAGTGGTTAAGACTCTGTGCTTCCATTGCAGGGGGCATGGGTTCCATCCCCGGTAGGGGAACTAATAACCCACATGCCAAACAGCTCAAAAAGAAAAAAAAAAAAGTTCAGCCAAATTTTTTCCTCTACTGTTGAAGCAAACCCAGTTCCCGGACAGATGCGTGTGAGAGCAACATTTGTTGGTGCTTTTAAAAGCAATTTTGTCATTTAATTCTCACAAGCATCCAGGCAAACCCGGGTTTCTGAAACTCAGCACAGCCATTTATTTTTTGTGGGACTTTGGATAAATTAACCTTGCTGGATTTCAGTTTCTTGAGTCTGTCGAAAGAAATCTTTATAGTGCAAAGCACAGTGTCTGGCACATGGTAGCAACTTTGTAAATATCCATTTCCACTATCTCCTATAGGCCTGCATTTGCCATCCTTTAATCTTTTATTTCTAAAAAGATTACATAGGGTACCTTTTTAACAAGAATTGTCCATTACAATCAGAGACCAAAAAGGATAAAAGAAAAATATTTAATATGCACACCCAAAAAGATGTACATATTGGCTGTGTTGTACTGAAACCATGAAACATATTGTGACTTTTTTCAGTCAACAAATATTATTATGTTAATTGTTCCCTTCTAAGCAAACAAATAAACAAACCAAAAAAGCTGAAGTCCAGCCCTTACCCTCAAAGATTTTGAATTCTAACCAGGAAGTGAGACATGAACAGATAGTTTATTAACAGTATGAGGTAGAGAGAGTCAAATTGCTGAAAATTTAAAGGAAAATTACTATGGGCAAGGCAAGCTTCAGGGGGAAGGTATAAATTGAACTAAAGCGTGGAGGAAGGCAATAATTTCAACGTGGAGGAGTCCTAGAAGTAAGGAGTGAAAGTGGAAATGCAAACGCAATATCCCTGAAACCTGTGTGGCTCCTGCAACCCATAAGAAAGCAAACAATTTGAACTTTGAAAAAATGAGGCTGATGGGAGGCAAAAGAGGATTCATGGAAGGAGATAAAGAAAAATATAAGATATTGGAAGAGAACTAAATACCTTGGTCTCTAGGATCCTAGATATTTTAAGAAGAAAGGCCAATGAATAGAAATGAAGAGAGGGTAAGGAAAACAAACAGAAGGAGGGAAAAGAGAACTCTGGATTTGACAATAAGGTTACCTTTGAAAGTATAACTTCAGAATATATGTGACAGAATGTGTAATATATATAGCTGCAAATATTTAGAATATATAGAACAGAAAAGTTAGTTAAAGGTTTCAGTGACTAAATGAGCGATTAAGAAGTGAGGCCATGGGTTTCCCTGGTGGCGCCATGGTTGAGAGTCCGCCTGCCGATGCAGGGGACACGGGTTCGTGCCCTGGTCCGGGAAGATCCCACATGCCGCGGAGCGGCTGGACCCGTGAGCCATGGCCGCTGAGCCTGCGCGTCCAAAGCCTGTGCTCCACAACGGGAGAGGCCACAACAGTGAGAGGCCCTCGTACCACAAAAAAAAAAAAAAAAAAAAAAAAAAAAGTGAGGCCACAAGTAGATAAGGTAAACATATTATTTTAACCAAAAGTCAGGTCACATAATCTGAAAAGATAAAGTATCTATCAGTACAATCAGTTATAGCCTAGAAATCTCAGGATCCGTATTATTTCCACCATAAACCATGTATTTTAGAAGTCTGAAAATTAAAATAAGCAAAATCACTTTGCAAATTCAGAGGGCAATACCCCATTGAGGTGATGTTGACATATTGGATCATAAAAGAAATTGGAAAGATCAGGGAATAGGACAATAAGAAAGGTTGAGAAAACTGAACTAAAGCTAGGAAGTAATCACAATCCCGGAGTTAATGCTGTCTTTCAGAGGTGAAGACAAAGGACATCCCAATGGAAGAATGAAATCTAGAAATGTATTTTTTAAACTTACAAAATGGTATGTGAAACTATGTTCTAAATTTGTGAGTACTGAGCAAATGTTAGCTATTAATGACTCCGGGGAGCTCGTTTCATCTTATAAGTCTTACCCCCTCAATGAGGCCTTTAAAGTGTGGCACTATGTTTTATACATTTTTGTGTAACTAGCACATTGCTCAGCTCAAAACACTGCTTTCCTCAGTAGTAACTATTAGTTGGATGATAAAAAAGATGGTGAGATGATAATCTCATCATATATTTAGATTTAACCTCAAATTCCTTTCAGCTAAAAACAAATTACCTTTTCTTTTAGTCTTTATTTCCTTTATCTTATAATGAATTAGGATTTATTTATCCATCTATCCTCACCCTTCTTTGTATTCTAAGACAAATGAACTAATACCATTCTTTTTCTTTTCTTTTTTTTTTGGCCATGCCATGCAGCTTGTGGGATCTTAGTTCCCTGACCAGGGATCGAACCCAGGCCCTTGGCAGTGAGACTGCTGAGTCCTAACCACTGGACCACCAGGGAAGTCCTGAACTAATACCATTCTAATGACTCACTTTCTTTTTTTTTCTGCTGAATATTGATCTGGTATGAAAGAGAATATTACAATTTCTGTGAGAATGACATAATTTCCACCAATCTAATTCATTCTAGACTGCCATCATGTCTTCCTAATGTTTTCTTAGGAATTTATCAGAAGATATCTATATTGAAAAAACCATCTACCTTCTTTCCTTCTGGTGAAAGCTATTCTAACCAGGAAGATTATTCTAAAGAAAATTAAATATTAACTTGATTGTGTTATTTTTAAAACACTGATTTAGCTCAAATCTTAGAGGCAACTAATTCTTTTCTTTATTCTCAGTTCCACAGAGCTAGATTTCCTAGCCAGCATTCTTATTGTTATTTTGTTTTGCCTTGGCTAGTTTACTGTATACTTAAGCACAAATTACATCAATGTATAACCTGAATTTTTAAAAATCATTCTTTAGAAAATAATTGAAGGAAATAATACTCTCAAACACATGCCTATACTGTGAGGTTAGTGAAGCTAGAAAATGTCCCTGCTCAAACTGGACCCATCAGCTTCTAACAAACTCCTGCTACTCTGTTAGCAATTTGGGGCATGTGCTCAAACATATGGTCTCTCTAAGCACTTTTCATTATTGCAAATAAGAAAAAATTTAGTTAAAAACATGATGAGGGACTTCCCTGGTGGCAGTGGTTAAGAATCCGCCTGCCAGTGCAGGGGACATGGGTTCAAGCCCTGGTCCAGGGAGATCTCACATGCCGTGTAGCAACTAAGCCCATGCACCACAACTACTGAGCCCGCGCTCTAGAGCCCGTGAGCCACAACTACTGAGCCCATCTGCCACAACTACTGAAGCCCACATGCCTAGAGCCTGTGCTCCGCAACAAGAGAAGCCACTGCAATGAGAAGCCCACGCCACGCAACGAAGAGTAGCCCCTGCTCGCCGCAACTAGAAAAAGCCCGCGCGAAGCAACAAAGACCCAATGCAGCCAAAAATTAATTACTTAATTAATTTTAAAAATAGGCACTATTACCAATAAATAAATAAATAATAAAAACATGATGAGCGTATCCAAATGAATCACTACTTTGCAAACTGAAAGGACCTTTTAAATAATGTTATTTGTACTTTATTCGGATGGTAGTGTCATTACAGAGCTGGTGGTTGGTAGGTAAGCCATAGAGCCTTGTTCTAAGTCCTCAGAGAGTCTCTTTCAAGAAGCATTACTTTTTCAAAATGTTAAAGCTAGTCTCCTTTGAAGGGTCAGATATTTTAAGCAATTCCAAATGACAAATACATTTGCATTTTTCAAATATCAGGCAATTCAATTATATACACAATATCATGTGAAGAATTTCTGGCCGTGAGTACACATTTATTCAACTCAACGGACATTTACTGACCACCCATTATAGATCAGCACCTGCTCTGTCACAAATATAGAGATAGAAAATATAGGGACTTCCCTGGTGGGCCAGTGGGTAAGAATCCATGCTCCCAATGCAGGGGGCCCAGGTTTGATCCCTGGTGGGGAAACTAGATCCCACATGCATGCCGCAACTAAGAGCCTGCATACTGCAACCAAAAAAATTTTTTTTTAATTAAAGAAAACATGCCGCAGCGAAGATCCCACATGCAGCAACTAAGACCCAGTGCAGCCTAAATAAATAAATTCTTAAAAAAAAGAAAATATAGTCCCTGCTTTTTTTTTACACTTAGGTTGCTTCCATA